GCTTTAAAAATATTGAGATATTTAAAGCTCAGCATCATTGTAGAATCTTGTCCAACAATGGTGGCTGAGGGATAAAATCAAGACAATTCAATAAAAGCAACATTAAGGGACCAGCAGTTAGCATGATGGCTATGTCGCTGAACTCCCATGTAGCCTACTGCAGTTCAAGTCCCTTACCCGGTGGCTTAAACTCACGCCAACGCATGTGTGTGTGTGCCCAAGATCCCAAGAGGAGAATGGAGGAGAAGGGATTGCAGTGTGGCCATCCCCCTTGGGGGGTGATTTCTCGCTTTCTATCTCTCTATCTCTCTGTCTTTCTGGCAAGCGCATGCACCCTATAGCAAAAACCTCTCCAAAAAAAAAAATTAAAATATTGCATTAGTATTTTTTAAAGTCACTTGCATTTACATGCTTTTAAGACCAATTTATTTTTGTTAAATAATTATTCATTTGATTTGATTTATTTATTATTATTTTAAAATTTGTTACAGGACATGTGCACTCACCAGGGAGACAGGTAGAATGAGGGAGAGAGAAAACGAGAGGAAAAGTGAGAAAGTAAGCTACCAGGTCCAGGACTTGAATCATGGTTGACCATGTGAGCCTGTGAGCCCAGCGCCCTAACCACCATGCCACCTGCTGGCCCCCCAATTTATTTATATTTTTTTAAAGCTGAGTTTATTAGAATATGGTTTATAAATATAAAACTCATTCTTTATAGGTGTGTCTCTTAAAGCATTTGGTCCATTTAACTTCAGTTATCAAATTTAGTCATAATGTGGTTCATAATGTCCTTTACAATTTAATGTCTGTAAGATCTGAAGTTATTTAAACGTTTTTTTGATATTGATAATTTGTGTTCCACCCCATATTTTTTAAAGGTTTTTGATATAGAGTGTATGTGCTCTCCAGAGAGAGACAGAGAGGGAAAGTGAGAAATCACTCCCCAGTCGGGATGGCCATGCCTCAAGGCCCTGTGGGAGTCCAGTGCCTTAAGTACACACACCTCCTGGCCCCTGCTATTTTTTTGTTTTTTAATCATCAGGTCAGACAAAAACTTACCAGGTTTACAATTGATCTTTTCAAAGGTCCATTTTTTATTAGATTGCTTTTCTCTATTTCTGTTCTATTTTCAATTTCACTGATTTCTGCTTTTATCTTTATTATTTTTTGTCTTCTTGCTTAAATCTAACTTGCTCTTTTTTTCTAACTTAGCTTGAATCATTTTTTTTTTTTTTAAGAGGTTTTGGTAATGGGGGCGTGCGCTCGCCCGCCAGACAGAGAGACAGAGAGACAGAAAACGAGAAATCACCCCCCAGGGTGGATGGCCACGCCACAATCCCTTCTCCTCCATTCCCCTCTTGGGATCTTGGGCACGCACACACACGTGCCCTGAGTGAGTTTTTTAAGCCACCGGGTCCGGGACGCGAACTGCAGTCATTTATGTGGGAGTCCAGTGACATAGCCATTATGCTAACTGCTGGTCCCGCTAAGCTTGAATCTTTATAAGTCATTTGAAACTTTCCTGTTTTTCCTAGTGTATTTTTTTCTAAGCACCATTTAGGCTGCAATACATAAATATATATATACTTTATTTCACTTTATTTAAGTCAGAATATTTTCTCATGTCCCTTTTTGCTTCTTTAATACAGGGTTCATTCAGACATGTGTTTTAAAATTTCTGAATATTTGGTGATTTTTCCAATTATTTTCTATTGAGTTCTAGTTTTATTCCAATGTGATCTGAAGACATATATTATTCTATTTAATTTCTCTAAATGTTTTTTATCAGTTTTTTGTCACAAAATGGTCTATCTTGTGAAAGTTGTATGTGCACTCAAAAAAAAAAAAGTGTAACCTGATGTTGCCAGATTTCTGTCTTCTCTCCTATAAATGTTACCATGGTCAAGTTACACAATAGTGTTGTTCAGATCTCCTACTACATTGTGATTATATATATATAATATATGCCATAGGGTGCATGTGTTTGCTGCAGATAGAGAGACAAAGAGAGAGGGAAAGTGAGAAATCACTCCTGTGGAAGGAGAGGAGATGGCCACGCTGTAATCCTTTCTCCTCCATTCTTCTTTCAGGATTTGGGCATTCACATCCTAGTTCCTGGCATGTTTTTTAAGCTGCCAGCTCCCAGGACTGGAACCACAGAATCATCCGTGTGGGATCCAGTGCCTTAATCTGCACATCACCTGCTGGCCCTCCATCACTGATTTTTACTTTACTCATTCTATCCATTGTTGAGACACCTCCAACTATAATTTCATATTTTTGGTCAATTATTATTCAAATGCCATGTATAATGGCACAGATTTTTAATGTCTAATAAATTTAGAAATTGTGTTTTATTTGCTTAAGTCCATATAGTTAGCTCGAATATGTGTTCCCATGCCTAAATGTAAGCCAAACTTTGGTCAAAATAAGAAACGCCAAGTACTTTTCATAGAGCATTGCCTAATAACAACTATTTACATATTCATGCATAATTTAATCAAAGCCATATTTTTGGTATTTGGGGAATTATCCCAATTTTAAAATCTTTCTAAATATCACTAATCAAAAAGCAAGACACTAGAATTCTTTTGACATTAAGATCCTGGGTGATAAGTTTTTAGAAAATTTCCATGTTAAGGCTTAATTGCATGAACTATTAAAGGGAGAACATTAGTATAAATGAGACTTAATAATCTTTCCTTTCTATAACATTCTCATTATTAGTTTGGGACCAAAAGAAGCATACTCATTTTATTTACAATGTGTTGTATTTAATATTTTATTCTGGGTGGTCTTCCATTTTTCTTGTATTTAACTTACTAAATTGTCTTGTATTTAACTTATCAATTGTGAAATGGCACAGGAACCTACAGTTGTATACTAGGACGTTATAATTAATGAGAAATGAATAAAAAATGCATTTGGCATTAGTAAGGAGTTGTACACAACCAAGGTGATGTTGATATAATGAAGTCTATCCAGCTGAAACAGTGACATGCTATTGAAATTTGCCACTTTCCTCTGTAGCACAAAAAGTGCATCTGCCCCAGAAACTTAATTATACCTGTACTATCTCATTGGAAAGCCTTTGAATAACCTTATATTGTTTCTAGCTCAACATTTCATGATCTTTCCTTCCCTAGGCAGCTAATTGAATCAGTGACTGAACTCTTCAAATCATACTAAGGCAATCAAGAATTTCTATTTCTTCTCAAGTAGTTCCTGCAAATAATTGCACATTTCCTTTTCTCTAGAATCTTGAAGAAGCTAGCTCTAATGGACTTAAATGGGTTACTTTCAGAGCCACAAGAAAGACTGCCTTTTTAAGACTAGGCAAACTGGTATCCATTTGAATGGAAGATGGTTTGACTGGTCAATAATGACTCTGGTCAATGTCCCAGTGTGGCTTTTGATCAATCCACTCCAATGATTCTGAATTTATGCCATCTACTTTAAAAAGAAATCTAATTGGTGAAGCATGATTTCTTATTTTTTATCCAGAGAGAATTAGTGGAGAGAAAATTAAGTTCCCTCATCTAAGTAAGTACCTCAGGGAACTATTCACCTATCAATGTATGGGAAAGTTTCAGCCTGTAACTTACCCAATTTCATTAGCATTAATGGGAATTGTGTGTGAAATCCTGTGTGAATCATTGGTTTAGGAGGTCTGTGAGACTTTGTTGATTACTTGTATTTTGTAATGGCTCTATTCTCCAGCCCAAACTTTTAACACTTTAGGCTTACAATAGAGCCTATGGTCTGCAAAAATCAAACCTGGACTTCAGAAGTAAATCATAGTAGCATTACATACAGTCATGCACCATTGCAAATGTCAGATACATGTTACATGCTAGGTACTCCAATGTTCTACTGTCTTACTGTCTTTGATAGGTAGACTCAAGTTAGAGATCTCAGCTTTCACCAATTATTTTTATTCATTTATTTTTAAGAGGTTTTTGTCTTAGGAAATGTTTCTCTTAGGAAAAAATTCTCTCCCCAGAGAGAAAGAGACAGTAAGAGGGAAAGTGAGAAGTCACTCCCTGGGGGGTTGACCCACCTCAATCCCTTCTTATCCATTATTCTCCTGGGATTTGAGGCATGCATGGACATAGCATGATTTTTTTTTTGAGGGTTTTTTTCTATAGGGCACATGTGCTCGCCAGACAGAGACAGACAGAGAGACAGAAAATGAGAAATCACCCCCCAGGGGGGATGGCCATGCCGCAATCCCTTCTCCTCCATTCTCATCTTGGGCATGCACGTGCCCGGTGTGAGTTTTAAGCCACCGGGTCTAGGACATGAACCGTGGTCGACTACATGGGAGTCCAGCGACATAGCCATTACGCTAACTACTGGTCCCAACATAGCATGAGTTTTAAACTGCTGGGTTAAAGACTCGAACTGTGGTCAGCCATGTGGGAGTCCAGTAACTTAACTGCTACAACATCTGCTGGGCCCTTATTTTTTGCTCACACTCTGCTCTAATGGATAGGTCATGAAATTTGTACCCATATGGATGATCCAACCTTGATCAATTTTTAAAATGAATGAAATGACCAGGGTTGCAGAGCCTGGACACCCAGGCACCTATGTATGCACACATGCAAATTCCTGGTGTGCAGTTGTTTCCTGTGTGCTCCCCTCTGGAGGAAGTGAGTGAGCATGTGGGAACCTTCATGAGTTGGGTTCCTACTGGGCTCCGGGTTCAACTCTAGGAACTTCTTCCCCTGACCTAGTACATTGGAGTGCTCCAGTGACCAGAGCTCCCCTGAGTGAAATGGGCATGGAGGCTGAGTGTTAGACTCCTCCAAGCTAAAGTAAAGAGAGCTAGGAAGACTCAGAGAACCTCCTCTTCCCTAGTGTAGGCATGGGCTACCCTATGTGGCCAATGTGCAATACCAACCAATTTGTGCCAAATGAAGGAAGATACTATAAGCATCTCACAAATTTCAGCCTAGTAACAAGAAACACTGGTTGTACCAAAGCTGTTGTTTTTAAAATAGTTCAAGTCTGTTAGTACGCAGACATTTATACCATGAAAGAGAACTTCTTGCATGTATGAATCCTAGGTTAAGAACTTCTGTGCTAGAGATATGTAGGTTAGAGATATATAGGTTAGAGACATCCCCGAGTCTTTCTGGGACAGGGACTATATTTGATCTTGTCCATTTTACTGTGGTTAAGCTATTCTATAATGAGCAGCAACAACATATTGTGCATTGTTTCAGTCATCTTCCAGTGCAGTTTTTGGAGTGTTAGCCTTTCTTGTGAAAAAGCACAGGAAAATACGCAGTGATCTGCAGAGACTTGGTAGTAGTCATTCAGCAAGAACCATCCAATTTAGGCACATCTAGGAGTGAAAACAGATGTTAGTTTGAAGGTGAGAGTGATCAAAGAAACTCTATGTAAGAGCTGTAGAAAGAGAAACTTTCATCCTCAAATCTGATTTTAAGATCATTTATCTCATCTAGAAGGAGAGCAATTAGTGAGACAAGAAATACAAACATGATAAAGAACTCAGATCCAAGAACGTATGATCTAGTCGTGGCGATAAACACAGAAATATTGATACTTACAGTTTGGGGACCTAGGAGTACTACAGACATTCTGAAGGAGAAGAGATGACTTTGACTAGAAGAAAATGCAGATGAGTTGCCTAGTAAACAATAATGCTGCACAGGTCTGATAGTATGTCCCTTGCCTTTGATAAAAGCTTCACTTCATGGGTCATAAGGGAAACACTGTGAAAGGAGAACAGAGATGAATGGACAGGAACGCAATCCAATCTGGATGTTGACACTTGTGTAAGTGATCATTCCCGTGATTGGGTGAATTAGGATTTAGTTTCAGAACAATTCATTGAGTCTCTCAGCAGATAGTGAAGAAGAACAAGAACTCAGAGGAAGATGAGGATGTGTATCAAGTTACTGTATATCAAGGAGGGGAGAGTGAAATGGATTCATTGAAGATGATACTGAATCTTCCTTCATAGACTATTGGTAATGTACTTCATGACATGAAAAACAAAATGGTTCTCCTCTTAACTTCACTGCAACAGATGTGGGGACCTTGGTGAGAAGTAGCATGCTAAAGATAAAGGGAAATAGTAAGGGAAAATAACCTCAACACAAGTAGAAGGCTTTGATCTTCCTGAATGTAAAAAAGCAAACAAAAAGGAAAATAAATCTTATAGTGAATAATTCCAAAGTCATGTGTTGAGGAAAATAATGAAAAATTTATATAAACCTCTCAATCTCAAGAAAGTAAGCACTACTCTCAGCTCTGCTCTTTCAGAGGCTCTTAAAGAGCACCTTATTTCCCATAGGGTGCATGAACTCTCCAGAGAGGGGGGAGACAGAGAGAAGAAAACTGAGAAATCACTCCTCATAAGAAATATGGCTATACCACAATCCCTTCTCCTCTTAGGATTTTGAGCACGCACACACATCTGTCCAGGATAATTTTCAAGTCACCACATCTGGGACTTGAACCATGGTTGCCTATGTGGGAATCCAGCCCCCTTAACCACTGTGCCACCTGCTGGCCCCATACAATCAACTTCTAAAAGCATGTTCTAGAGAGGCCAAGAAAATGTCAAAGATGTTGAATAGAAAAGAAACAAATGACAAGAAGAAAGTGTGGAATTCATTTTCCTCCTTAATGCCATTAAACTTTCTGTACTTTGCTAAGGTCTACTTAAAAATGGTTTTATCATCAATGTCAATATAGGACACCTTATCATATACTTTACATGTGCGATAAAGCTAAAAAAAAAAAAAGAGAGAAAGAGGCCTCAGTATGAAGACAGCCAATTCAAATGATTGTGCTGATTTCCCTTCACTTGCTCATAAAATTAGAATTATATATTTCTAACTGTATAACTTAAAAAATTTAGACAAATATGAAATCTAATTTTAAAAATTTTAGAGAGGTTTTTGCTATAGGGCACATGTGCTCACCAGAAATACAGAGAGAGACAGAGAGATAGAAAGAGAGAAATCATCCCCCAGGGGGGATGGCCACACCACAATCTTTTCTCCTCCATTCTCCTCTTGGGATCTTGGGAAAGCAACACACCAGGTCCAGGACTCAAACCGTGGTCTACTACATGGGAGTCCAGTGACATAACCATTATGCCAACTGCTGATCCCATATTTTTAAAATTTTTAACATGCATCAAAGCCAGAAAATATCTGAGTTTATGTTTATGACTTCTCTTCTGTGTAATTTACCAACTTTAAGGGAGTTGTTTAGTAAATATTTACTTCCTTTAGAAAAATTTCACTTCTGTTTATATATTATATTTAGGTTTTAATGTAATTTGAATTGGACATATAACTCATCATCTACACCTTAGCTTTTATCTTTCAAATCATTTCCTCTTCCTTTTAAACGAAAAGATTCTCTCTCTCTCTCTCACACACACACACGTATATGTAGGGCATTTAAATGTAACTTATTTAATACTTTTCATGTAAGGAGGAAAAGTTTGTGTGAAAGATTTAATATTTAAATTTTACATACTCTTAAATCTTCTGATCTTTAGTTTCTCTGCTCTTTCAGAGGCTCTTAAAATACTCATTTCAGATAAAAAATAAATTGGTAGTTATATTTGGTGCTGTGTAAGTAAAAATGTACTTGTTCTCCAGGCACTTTGGCAAAGTAATGATGTTAACAGAGAAGTCTTTGAGAAGCACCATCATTTACCCAGAAGACAAAGTTTTTAAGGCTACTTAACAGAATATGGAGGGGAATCAACTTGGTTTCAGGATTTAGTGGAATCTATGGTTCCCCCAAAGTTGGAAAACATTCAAAGACATTTGAATTATCTTCTTGGGTTAGGTTCTATGCTTCTTGGTAGTTGCCAAGGATTCAGATCTTTGCTTAAAGCAAGTTTTAGAAATTAATGAATTCAGAAATTTGATATGCACAAGAGCTGTCCATTTTAAAACTATCTGGGCCAGCTAGTGGCATGGGAGTTGGGGTGACTGGATACAACAGGTCTGACTGTGAGTCTTGAGTCCCATATCAGGTGGCTTGAAAATCACACTGGAGGGACCAGCAGTTAGTGTAATGGCTATGTCGCTGGACTCTCATGTAGTCAACTGCGGTTCGAGTCCTAGACCCGGTAGCTTAAACTCATGCTGGGTGTGTGTGCGTGCATGCCCAAGATCCCGAGAGGAGAATGGAGGAGAAAGGATTGCAGCATAGCCATCCCCCCTGGGGGGTGATTTCTCACTTTCTCTCTCTCTGTCTCTCTCTGTATTTCTGGCAAGCGCATGCACCCTATAGCAAAAACCTCTGGGGAAAAAAGAAAGAAAGAAAGAAAGAAAGAAAGGAAGGAAGGAAGGAAGGAAGAAAGAAAGAAAGAAAGAAAGAAAGAAAATAAATAAATAAATCACACCAGGCATATGCTCATGAATGCCTAAATCCTGAGAGGAGTATGGAGGAGAAGGGATTGTGGTGTGTCCATCCTTCCTGAGGGATGACTTCTCTTTTCCTCTCTGTCTCTCTCTTTCTCTCTCTCTGGTGAGTGCATGCACCTTAGAGAAAAAAAATAAAAAAATAATAATAATAAGTAAAAATAAAACTAACTGAAAGGTCATAACTCCTAAGTGATCCAGAAATTATACTTTGCTTTCTTTTAAGAATGGTAGAGTCAGAACATGGGATTCTAGAATATCTCTCATACTATGTAGATTAACTTCTTGACTTACATTAAAACATAAATGCTCAGCAAAATAGTGAAAATAACTGCTTTTATTTCGAGAACCAGTGCTTTTCCCAGTGTTTTTATTTTATTATTATTGTTTTTTCCTAGAGGTCAGTGCACTCACCAGATATGTAAGATAGTTGTACATATTTAGGTGCAGACAATAAAATCAACTGAACTGCAAGTTTAGAACTGAAAGATGATTTTGCATGCCAAATTTCTGTTAGTAATAAACAATAAATTGTTATGATAAACTTCAAAAACCATACACACACACACACACTACTTACATATAGATATATATATTATATTTATATTGTATATATATATATTTTTGCATAGAAAAATACATCATGACTTTCCTGACAACCTAACATATAAATAAATAGGAGGAAAAATGGTGGCAAGGATCAATACTTTAATCAATACATGGTTCTCAAATACAGATAAGCTTCATTAGTTTGGAATTTATAATATTTCAATTAGAACTAAGTAGAATTCATCCCAAGGAGAGCTGGATATATAAATAAGATTATAAACAATATATATCCAGGCTATGTGTATGCAATGATTATACTATTTATAAAACATTCAAATCTGTGTACAAATGGAATCTCATTCCACATGCCAATAGATTACTAATGTAGTCTGGATTGTCTACATTTGTAAAAATGTGTAATTAAGAAGAAATGAAATGTAAACTATTAATGATTTTTGAAAGATAACAAGCATAAAATGAGTCACTTCTTTTTATGAATTGCCAGAAGCTGTATGCACTCACCAAAGAGAGAGAGAGAGAGAGAGAGAGAGAGAGAGCTGCAATTCCTTCTTATCCATTCTCCATCTAGTCTGGATTTGAGACACACACACACACACACACACACACACACACACACACACACACACACCTAGTGAGTTTTCTAAGCCACTAGGGCAAGGATTACAACCATGGTCGGCTATGTGGAATCTGGCTCCCTTTACCTCATGCTGTAGGACCAGCCCAGAAGAGAAAGACCAAGAGAGAAAGAAAGTGAAAAAGCACCCCCATGGGGGGTGGTCATACCACAATTCTTTCTCCGTCATTTCATCTTTTGAGATTAGGGGCATACACATGCACCTGGCATATTTTTCAAGTCACTAGGTCCCAGCCTTGAACTGAGCAGTCAGTCGTGCAGGATACAGCTGCCTTAACCACCACACCAACCACAAGCCCCAGTCGTCTTTTACTACAGCTTTCTACTCCCCTAGTTAGTTTTATTCTCACTTCTTCTGATCAAGATATCCATACTCCAGTCCTTTGTAATTTTTCAGTATCTATATATTATACTCCCACTCCTCCCTTACCAATTTTCAATAGATTTCAAGTGAGCTACTATTTTTTAGTTATTTATATTTTTCAGAGAGAGAGAAGAGGAAAAAATACAAATCTTCAAGCTCTAATCCAACTCCAGCCCAAGCCTACCCACTGATCATGGGCATGCATGCATGTGTCTGACATGTACCAGGAGGTACTGCTGTTCAAACCTGGGACCTTCCCATGGAAGTACGACATCACAAAGCATTAGGTTGCTGTTGTACCACCATGTGGCCCCTCAAAATGGCCACTCTTAATATCTTTCTTTGATCTGGTCTATTAT